TCCCAATCAAGTGTTCAAACTGTAAACATCTGTAGAGTATCCTCATTTCACACTGAACTTTGAAATTCTCTGGCAGCAAGTGCTATAAGAAATGCATAACTGTCCAACACAGCTTTATCATTGGGGCTGATCATAATCCTGAAAGACTCAATCTTGAAGGCCATAATCCTAAGAGCTGACATCCCAAATCTCTAAAGTCTAAGATCCCTAACATCTATAATTCTGAAAATCCAAGATCTCAAAAATACAATTCTGGAAAAAATAATTTTAAAAAATTATGCGATAGACATTAATTTATACTTTTAAGACATTTTTGAGATGTATGTAAGATGACAGAACACCTCATAGGTTGCTTTTCACAATAAAACAGGCAAAAATATCATACATATTTTTACAAGCATAAACAGACATCCTAACACCAGTTCCACAGGTCTAACAGTTATAAGCTGTATTCATAAAGAAACAGGTCAAAAAGCAAAATGCATGAGCACATATCAGTATGGTTGGTAATTGTGTGCACACAAGTTTATAAAAGCAATGATATGAAATACTGTGATGGACAACCCAAGTCTTTTTGACAAGGTTGATCAAAAACCACAATGGATCACTACCACGTATGTAGTTACTCAGTGAGCTGAGAACTCAAGAAATTTTATCTTTCACGAATGCAGATGTACAGAAAGGACATCTCTTCATTTACTGAAAAAATGTCAACATTTTTGTGAACAAATGAATATTTAGACCCAAAGTGATAGTGTGCTTTTGTAGAGTCAAATTTGCAAAAAGTACATAAAATGAATTAGAAGTTTCTAAAGGTCATCACATAGTTTATACACAATTTATACAGGGATGTCAGCTTTTAGGATTTCAATATTAAGGATTTTAATCTTTCAGAATTGCAATTTTTCAAGACTTACGGTGTTATGGATTTTTAGACTTCAAGGATTTGGATCTTTTGGGATTTCAACATTCAGGATTATAGTGTTCGGGACTGTCAGGATTACGGCCCAAACCTTCTTACCATGGTACTTTTTACTAAACTGTTATATGCTTAGATCATTGGTCTGGTTCATCAGAAATATGAATATTTATGATTGGTTTGTCCAAATGAGGACAACAGAGGCCATCACCTGTCCCTGTGGAATGGAGCTCACCCTTCAGGAACCAAATGACCCTATTCAATTGCTGATCACATGAGTGTTCTACACTTTGGCCTTCAAAGCTCTCATTTGAATTCATGCTACTATAACAACAGAGATGTGCATCTACAGTCCAGTAGGCCCACACCCTAGGCGTCATGGTTTACTTCATGTGTCTGCTTGTTGTAACATGATATCCATGATGTGGGGCCAGGCTGCCAAAGCCCTTCTCCTGCCAGTCTCTCATGTGTTCACTGGCAGAGAAGGCCAGTTATGGGTCCTAAGCTCCAGTGCCATCTACTTTCAGAGTCAGGTCTATCCACAGGTGAGTTGCTACACACACTTAGCAGATCTGACTTCAATGACCACTTTCCTGCTGTCTGTAACAACCAACATCTTCCCTGGGGTCTGATGAGCATCTCTGTCAGGCACCTATACCAATATTCTGTTCGTCCTGCAGCACTTCTGACCAAGCATGACTCACTAGGAACCCTCATTCCACACTCAGCTCCATATAGCCTAGCTTCTTACCCATTCTACTCAAGAAGGCTGAGATCATTTCCTCCCCAGACCTCGAATTGCTCACTACTAAACACAACTATGTGCCTGAGAAAACTGCAGCTACCCTGAAAGACATTTCAGAGGATCTAACTATCAAATGGTTTGACTAGGCATTGAGTCTCTATTAAGTAATATATCCATTGTTTCAAAAACAGAAACCCAGGACCAGCAGTTGTCATAATGGCTATGTCACTGGACTCTCATGTAGTCGACCACAGTTCAAGTCCCAGACCCGGTGGCTTAAACTCACACCAGGCGCGTGTGCCCAAGATCCCGAGAGGAGAATGGAGGAGAAGGGATTGTGGCGTGGCCATCCCCCTGGGGAGTGATTTCTCACTCTCTGTCTCTCTATCTCTGTGGTGAGCGCACACGCCCTATATTGTGACCGCCCCCCCCACAAAAAAAAAACCCCCAAAAAAAAAAAAAAAAAAAAAAAAAAACCAGAAACCCATTTCCCATAGGTTTGGGTTGGTTTATTATAAATGTAACTCACCTATGTAACTCACCTATGTGGAATTTTATACATATATACATATGCACTCATATACTTATTTAATTGCTAAATATTTTCTTTTCTTTTTTAAAGAATTATTTTATTCTAACTTTATTTATTTATTTTAATTTGACCAGAGAGAGACAGAGTGAGAGAGAGAAGGAAAGTGAGAAAGCAAGCCGCCAGGTCCGGGACTTGAACTGTGGATGGTCATGTGGGAGTCCAGCACCCTTAATCTCCACACCACCTGCCGGCCCCCCTTTTCTTTTTTTTTTAAGAGAAATTTTTGCTATAGTACACATGCACTTGCCAGAGAGACGGAGGGAAAGACAGAGAGAAATCACCTCCCCATGAGGGATGACCACATAGCAATCCCCCCATTCTCCTCTTGGGATTTTGCATATGCATGCACACACAGCTGGTGTGAGTTTTAAGCCACCAGGTCCGGGATTCATACCACAGCCGACTATGTGGAAGTCCAGTGACATAACCATTACACTATCTGCTGGTCCCAGTGCTAAATATTTTCATGTTATGTATCTTTTACATTAATTGTGCTCCCAAAATTGCTCAAAATAATTTTTTCTGGTAGGTTAAGTGCCTCCTTGCTCTTTATCGATTCCAAAAATCCCTTGGTCTTTCTCATTTGTTTAGGTTTTCAGTAGAAATTGTAGAGTCATTTGGTTGTGTTCCAAATAATGTATCTGTGTCACACTTAAAAATAAATTTTGAAAGAACTATTTTTAGTGTAACAAAAATGCAAGTATTTTAAAAAGTGACAACTGTTTGAAAGATTGTTGAAAGAAAACGATTTTCTGTAACAACAATCTCAGAAAAGGACTATCTTCCCACTACAAGATTTCTTTCCTTACTATATTAAGAGAAAATGAAAATATTTTTGCTATGGTTTGAATGATAGTGTCCCCTCCAAATTCATACAGAGATTTAATACCCAATGCAACAGTATTAGGAGTTGGGCCTTCTGGATATGATGAAGTCATGGGGGTTCTACTCCCATAAAAGGAATGAGCACCCTTACAACAGTGCTCGAGGTTGAAGGGAGTGCTCTCTCACAACTTGCATCTTCTGCCATGTAATAAGAGTATCCATCCCTTCCAGAGAAAGCAACAAACACCAATCCAGCCAGAGTTTTGAGTTAGGACTTCCCAGTCTCCACACTATGAGAAATAACTTCCTGTTGCTTATAAACCACCTATGTGTGTTATTTTGTTATAGCTGCATGAACAGGCTAAGATACTTTTTTAACATGGCTTCATAAGCGCATGATCATTCCAGCAAAAGAATAAGTGAGAAAGGAACTCTTCTATACCTATAGAGGGAAGCATGCCATAGGTATTCTGGGTAATAATTTGGCCGCTATCTGAACTTTTCACCAAAAACTTTTCTAACCTTTGACTCATCAATTTCACTGAGAATCTATCCTTAAAAAATTATCAGAGATGGGACCAGCAGTTAGTGTAAAGGCTATGTCGCTGAACTCCCGTGTAGTCGACCATGGTTCCAGTCCCGGACCCAATGGCTTAAACTCACACAGGGTGTGTGTGCGTGCGTGCCCAAGATTCCGAGAGGAGAATAGAGGAGAAGGGATTGCGGTGTGGCCATCCCCCCTGAGGGGTGATTTCTCACTTTCTGTCTCTCTGTCTCTCTCTGTCTTTCTGGAGAGCACATGCACCCTATAGCAAAAACCTCTCCAAAAAAAATCATCAGAGACAGCTTTATATTTACATACAAAATGTTCATTGTTGTATTGTTTAGCAAAAACAAAATTAACCTAAATTTACAACAACCAGAAGTAAATAAATTCACTTTACTCAAGACAGGTCATCCAGCTGCTAAAAGACAATGGGTTTGGGATGTACTGTTAGTAACAGAGAAAATGTTCTTGATAGTAAGCAGGAAAAATAGTAGGATTTAAATATTATTCCAGTGTGACTCAAGTACAATATGTAAATAACATATGATACATACACACCAGAAACACATATGCTGAATATATGGTTAAGAGCATGGGCTTTGGAAACAAAACAACCTGGTTCGAATCCCAGCTGTGCCATTCGCCAGTTGCGTAACCTTGGGCAAAAGAGTGAACCTCTTTGTGCCTCAGAATGCTCACCTGGGAAATGGGGATAATACTACCTACCTTACAGAGATGAATCAGCAGGACATCATGCAAATGATGCCTGGCACACTGCAAGCACTTGATCATTACTAGCCATTATTAGTATCTTTAACACAGAGAACAAACGGGAGGAAACACACCAAAGTGGGGGGCAGAAATCCAGGTCAGTTTAACTTGCTCCTTTGTTTCTTACATTTCCAAATTTCCTACAATAAATATTATGGAGTCAGACAGAAAGGTACATTACAAAAAAGAATGCATGAGGGAACAGCAGTTGGCGCAATTGCTATGTCGCTGGACTCCTATGTAGTCGACTGCGGTTTGAGTCCCAGACCCAGTGGCTTAAACAGGCACGTGTGCGCGTGTGCCCAAGATCCTAAGAGGAGAATAGAGGAGAAGGGATTGCAGCGTAGCCATCCCCCTGGGCGTGATTTCTCGCTTTCTGTCTCTCTATCTTTCTCTGTCTTTCTGGCGAGTGCATGCGCCCTATAGCAAAAACCTCTCCAAAAAAAGAATGCATAAGTAGTGACTAGTTTGCTACGTGCTCCAGTGGATGAGTGCCTGACAGGGGCCACGTGGTGTCAGGCAGCAAGCAATGCGCTGGCCCCAACTCTACAGGCCGCAGCTCCCTGCAGGTCCTGCCTCCTTCAGAAGCCTCTCTACTCACAGGTGCGGTGCCTTGGAAGCCGTCCTCTGCAGTGTTGGTCACAGGAAACTCGCCCTGCCAAATGTTGGCATAATGCTGGCCTCTCGGCTGCAGTTTGTTGCCCCAGGGGAAAAGTCTGTCAGAAGAGACACAGGCATCAGCCTGTCAAACAGGTACAGCCTTCTGGATGAAAGTGGAGAGGAGGAACACGATGAAAGACAGAGAGAGCATGGCTCGCTTGTTCTGAGTGAGCTTTCCTCTTGCTACATAAATAAAGCTGTGCGCCAGGATTTTTTCAAGAATTTTCTGTAACAGTTCATATCAGGGAATAACAACCTCAGTCTCTCTTGAGCACTTAGGAGGCCTGAAATAAATTTCGTAACTGGAAGGACTTACAGAATGCTGGGAACGTCAGCATCGTTCTGAACTTAAAAGGTAGCATGATCAGGCACCGTCATGCCAGACTTCTTTTTTTTTTTTTTTTTGGTAAAGCCTTGGCTATTTTAAGGAGCCTTTCCTAGAAAATGTGACCTAAACGTGAGTTTTCTGCCTCATAGCTCTAGAAGTAGAGAAATACCACTGCTCCAGGAGATGCCTAAAATAAGAAAATGCTGAAAGCAAGGCAGCCTGCCAAGCCGTTCTGAGGAATAATATGTAACATACGGGGTTGGGGGAGAATTCTAGAACTCAATGTGGGATGATGGGGAGCCCACTGGCCACACACTTGGCTTTGGGAAGTGAAAAGTATTCTCAGGAAGACAAAGAAAACTCAGTAAGAACAAGAGTTTTTTAAAAATCAACTTTCTAACCGGGGCAAGTTCCCTAGAATTAGAGAAAAGTCAACACGTTGCTAGTCAAGACAAGACTCTCACAGTACCTATTTTGTAGGCCTCCTCGACAGCTGTATTCCCACTCAGCTTCTGTGGGCAACCGCTTTCCCGCCCACGTGCAGTAGGCAACCGCATCGTTCCAGGAGACGTGGAGAACTGGATGATCTGCCCTGGGGAGAAGCGAGAGCAGAGAGTAGCACCAACCAAAATAAGAAAGAGGAACCGGCTTTGGAGAAAAATCCCAAATTAGCCTCGGTTTAATCCATGACAACTGAGATAGTCCTGGTGTTGAATTCAAGCCCCAACCACGCCGTATCTGTCATCTTCCACTATAGGTTTCTGACATTCTAGACTCCCAAGTAGATTATTACTCCTCATGGAGCCAGACCCAGAACATTTCTTCACTTTGCAGGGTGGGATGCCCACAGCGTTTCATCAGCGTGTACAGCAGAGAAATGCTCTGGCTTCTAGGAATGCCATCAGCAGAGGCTTCCAGTTCCTTCAGACTTCTGTAGGGCTTTGAGAGCCACCTCATGGCCAGCACTGGCTGACCATGGCTGGGGCATGAAGGCCTAGCCACTCAGCCCACCTGGCTCAACTCCACGGGCCCCCTGCCATGTGCTGGCTGGAAATCTGCAGGGCCTGCAATGTGTGGTTCTGACGTCTCTCCCAGGCGTGCTGCTGCCCCCCGCTAAGCCACAGATGTGAGTCCCTAACAAATACACTGAAAGCTCCATCCTATCTCAGCCTCTGTTTCCAGAAAAGCCCACCTGTGGCACTGGCTTTAACCTTTGCATCTTTCTCCTTTTCCACTACAGATTAGCCAACTATCCTTGCCTCACTCCAGAGAATCCCAAGTTAGTCTTTATTTTTTCCTAATGAGAGTAGGGATTTCTTTTAGGAAAAAAAAAAAAGTTTGAGAACAAGGGGACACAAATACTTCCCAGTACTAGTTTTTTTGTTTTTTTTTTTTTTGGGGGGGGGATTTTTGCTATAGGGCGCATGCGCTCGCCAGACAGACAGAGAGAGATAGACAGACAGAAAGCGAGAAATCACCCCCTGGGGGGATGGTCACGCCACAATCCCTTCTCCTCCATTCTCCTCTCGGGATCTTGGGCACGCACGCACACGCGCCCAGCGTGAGTTTAAGCCACCGGGTCCGGGACACGAATGGCGGTCGACTACGTGGGAATCCAGCGACATAGCCATTACGCTAACTGCTGGTTCCCCCCAGTACTAGTTTTGACTTCATCCCTTGCTCACTCTTTTTTTAAAGAATACTACACATTCTTAGTCCATTCCTTGTATGCAGGAACAATAAAAAGCTCATGGAAAAGAGAATTAAAGTATGAGTTTATTTTAGTACAAAAATATTTTGAAATCCAGGCATAGGTTTTCTCATGATATGCATTTTTCATAAACGTTTTGAAGATACCCTGCCCTGTATATCTTTGCATTTCCTACAGCAATTACATCACAACTTTTTAAAATTCTTTCAATGAACATTTACTGAGTACCTACTATGTGCCATTCACTACTTCCACCACTGATAAGAGATGTGCTTTTCTCAAAAGACTGACTCAGCCAATGTTCACTATGTCTCCTTTTGGGTTTTCCTTCCTCCGTTAGCTTTTCCTTCTACTATTAAGTTCAAGAAAGATATTAATTGTGGACTAAGAGACTTACTCCTCCTGGGTGCCCAAGAACCTATGACTTTCCACCTCAGTCTATTTCCAGCACAGAGTTTGTCAACATGGGTTTTAAAGGATTTCCAGCAGGGGGCGTGGTGGTTAAAGCTCTGGACTCCCAAATGGCCAGCTACAGTTCAAGTCCTGAACCTGGTGACTTGAAAATCGCACGGGGTGCATGTGCGTGTGTACCCCAAATCCCGAGAGGAGAATGGAGAAGGGACTGCAGTGCAGCTATCCTCCCCAGGGAGTGATTTCTCACTTTCCCTCTTGCTGTCTCTCTGATGAGCACACATGTCATATAGCAAAACCTTAAAAATATATATATATATATTTCTGACATTTGTCAAGGGGCCATATCCCTAAAGCTAAAGTCATGTACTCCCAGTTCCCTGAAGTAAGGGCATTTTTCAGTCTCTATTATTAAAAATATTATTAAAATTAGAGGCTGAAAAATGTCATGAAAAAATTAGGTTAGGAGGGCAGCTTTCTTGAGATGCTAAGTCCTAACCAAAACCTTTCTCAATCCCAGTGTGTAAACTGCTACTATTTTTGCTTAAGATAATTATTTCCTTGCCACCCTGGAGACGTCCTGACCGACTTGCAGCTCTGTGGTTTTCAGTCAGATGGTGGCTTCAAAGTGTGTCAGTCCAGGACAAAGATCACATACATCTTATTCCTGAGGCCTGGGTTTCTACAGTGGCCACCTGGCAAGCCACAACTACTTCCCCCAAGACAGTCTTCCTGCCCATACCCACCTCTGAGAGCGAGTAAATGGACAGATTATAAACATTAAATGTGTCATGCGGTTTGTGATGGGCCTGTCAAAAGGGGCAAAACATCTGCAAGAGCCTTTCACAGGCCAAATGAGAAAGGAGAGAGAATCCTCACTGAGAGACTTCGAAGAACTAGATGCAGTGTTTGGGTCTTGGCATATGTTATTTCCTGCTGTTTTATTTCAATCATTTAGGGTTTGTCGTTCTCATCATTTTATACATGAAGATCTCCACTGAGTTCCTTAGGAGGAACTTAATATTTATTTGTTTGGGGATGAAATATGTCACCTGGGGAACACTCGACCAGCCTCACCTGTGTAGGATAGTAGAATCGGGCCCTTCTGGATGTCTCCAGTTAGCGCCTTTAACAGGTAACCACCAGGGAGCAGCTGCGACCTCAAAGCAACCCAGAACAGGCTGATGTTAGCTGGAGGAACATTTGACTCAGTACGTGCAGCAGAAACTCCACTAAAGTCTTCGTCTTCCATCTGGTTACCAAAGAAATCTTTAACAAAAATAGCATTATTTCATATCATAAAGTGCCAAAGCGACCGAATAAAATGTTCTTAAATAGCGTGTGTCTCTCCAATAATTTTAAAATGATGCACAGCTAGCTAATCCTCTGTAGTTGCTAACAAGTGAGAGACAAGTGATATTGCTCCCATCTAAAATATGGGCAACAGGATTCACTTGACAATGAGGTACGAGGCTGACAGTCAACCAAGGTGGCCAGGAATCAAGCTGAAGCACAGAGAAAAACACCTGTGTGTTTTCAAAAAGCCTTACTTCAATGTGCAGCCCAACATTAGCTCTATGACCCTGGGAAAGTTCACTATTTGTCTGGCCTTCCAGAGTCCTCATCAGTGAAGTGGAAGTAGACTCAGCTCCCTTACCTAACTCAGAATACAGACGCGGCCAAATCAAGTAAGAAAGCAGAGGGCTCAGCAAGCTCTTATTACAAACTCACCTTCTACTTTACAGTTCTATTCACTGAGATAACCATGCAAGTGGTCCTCGTTCATTAAATAGTTCTTAACCACTAGGCTTTGGAGTCAGAGATTTGGATCATGCCATTTATGCTGTGACCCTTAATAAGATATTTCACCTTTCCGAGACTTCCTCATTTACAGGAAGAGACAGTAACAGCATCTACGTCTCTGGTTATTAGGAGGAAGAAATATACATAAAGGGCTTAGGAAAAATGCCCTTAGCAACTCAGGAGAATGATTAGCAAGCCATCACCATGGCTCAGTAACAGTCGGTCACAAGAGGAGAGCCAATGAAAACAATTGTCTCTGTCGCCAATGCTACCTACAGAATACAAGTCTGTAAGTGACTCTTCTCATACAAACTAGAGCAGACTCAGGGTTATCCCCAGGACAATCCACTGTGAACATTTGCATCCTAATGAGTGTGGGTGAGTGCAAGTGCAAGGAGCTTGCATCCCAGCTAACAATTACAGCAAATCACTGAAAACACCAAACCCCTTCTTACTTGTTCTTTTTATCACATCAACACAATCCAAACATTCACAGAATCTCCATCACAATTTGAAGGAAAAGGCAATATTTTTATATTTCAACAACAACAAAAAAGGCATTATGTCTTAAACCATAGCATTGCAAGGAGAGCAGGAGAGTTGACAGAAGGCCTGGCCTCTTTCCATTTCATCTGCTGCATTGCAGAAACTAACCCCAAGATGTTTACACAAGTGCTGGATGTTTAACAGCCAGCGACAGGTAATTCACTTGATGTCAAGGGAAGATGTGCACAAAAAGCTCAGGTTATCCTATTCTCCATGTTTCAGGAAGATCTTAAGATCATTTACCAACTCTATCCCATCCCAAATATGCAGCACCCACCACCACCAGAAGTTCTGGTGCAAAAAAATAAATAAGTAAAAAATAAAAGACAAATATGGGCAACAGGTTAAGCTTTGTTAAATCAGTGTGGTAGATATTGGCATGACTTTCTTCTCATACCCTTTTGTGTTCTGAAATATCTAACAATAAAAAAAAAGGTGTGTTTACCATTCAACTACTAATGGGCATTGGAGTACTCTTGAGTTTCAGGCTATTATAGGAAGTGCAGCTTCTGTGAGCATCTTTAAATTAGCTTGTGGCTTTTGGTGGGTGTACAGACGCATTTCTGATGACTGTACACTGTGGAGTGCACACGTGCACAGACAGTCAAATACAATCAATCCTTCATGGCAAAGTCCAGGGCTTCCCACGCCTTCTTCAAAGGGGAGCTTCCAAGTAGTGGGCTTAGGAACAGGAGCCCCCAGGGCAGCTGCTCCAGTGGCCTGTCACTCCATTCTGTTTTCCTCTCCTTTTTTCCTCAACTTGGTTTAGGTAGGAATCTTTATAAAACTCCTACTGTATGCCAAGACACTGAGCCTAATTCTTGCAGAGGACCTACAAGTGACAGAAATCCTCAGAGGATGATATAAGATAGTCCATATATTGATAGTTTTAAAAATTATTCATTTCACATATAATTCTTTAATTGCAAAAAGTGGGAAACAAAGTGTAAACCTACTCACCTCATTTCTCTTCAAAAATGTGTCTAACATTCAAAGCAGTGGTTCCAGGTACCAATTAACACACATTAGGCCAACAGTTACTGATTCCATTCTCTTCCCACCACACACACACACACACACACACACATACACACACACACACACCCCTTATCTCATTCCAGACATCCATTTTTCACTTCTCCTGGTAACTCTCTTTTCTGAAATCTTTCACCACTACACTAGCAACCCACCCAAAAAGACTGCAAGTAATAAGACTTGAACTCATGAAGCTATGTGATGATCACCATCTAAGATGTGTGCAGTGAAACAGAAAGGACAGACTGTAGGCAGAGGACACGGAAGGATACCCAAGAGCACTGTCCTTGACCCATGGCCACACTTAGTTTTTTTGTCCAAAATAATAAGATCTGGGGATCAGCAGATGGCATAATGGTTATGTTGCTGGACTCCCACATAGTTGACTGAGGTTCACGTCCCAGACCCGGTGGCTTAAGGCTCATGCCAGGCACATGTGCATACACGCCCAAAATCCTGAGAGGAAAATGGAGAAGGGATTGCAGTATAGCCATCCAGGCAGGGAGTGATTTCTCATTTTCTGTCTCTCTGTGTCTCCAGGGAGTGTACGAGCTCTATAGCAAAAATATCTCAAAAAATATAAAAGAAAAAAAAATGAAAACAAATAAAAATAATAAGATCTGAAACATATAAACAAGGATATATACTGGATTGTCAGGAAAGTCATGACTTTCCTGACAACCTACTACACACACACACACACACACACACACACACACACACTACCATTTCTAATTAAAAATTACAGAATAACCCAACTGTCCTTGGTATCCATCCTTACTAAGGAATATCCCATAGTTATCAAAATACAGTGTGATGTATAACTATATACATAATATCCTATAGACTATGTATTTGATTCTGCTTCCGTAAAATCTATCTGTAAGAACGTATGCTAGTATAATCAGAAGAGGTCTAGAAGAATATACATTCACTCAACGAGCCAAAGGGATGGGGGAGTAACGGTACACGTTTTAAAATAAGTGTGCGTCCTATGACAAGTTTCCTCGACAACAGCGCTACTGACATTTAGGCCACACAATTTCTTGGTGTAGGGGCGGCCCAGCCCATTGCAGGGTGTTTGCCAGTAACTAAGACCTCTACCTACTACATGCCTATTGCCTCGCCCTCCCTTACTGCAACTGTGGCACACAAAAATGTCTCTAGACATTGCCAAATGCCCCAGGAGAAGCAAATTACCCATCATATTACAATAATCTGAAGAGAAGTGGAAAAAAAAAAAAACCTACTCTTCTGAAATGTTTACATATAGTTCTTAGAAGCACAGTTTAAGACCAGCTGGCCCTGGAGCTCTCTGTCTCTCTATTTCTCTTTCTTTCTGGCAAGCATAGGCACCTATAGCAAAAAACTCTCAAAAAAAAAAAAAAAAAAAAAAAAAAAAAGAAAAAAGAAAGAAAGAAAGAAAGAAAGAAAGAAAGAAAGAAAGTAGGAAGAACCCTCGTTCATCAACCCCAAAATCAGACAAAGCTTGGGTGCCTGTAAGGGAGCCAAACTACATACCCCTCTGTCTGTAGGACAGACCATAAAGTCACCCTTGTAATGGGCACATCCAGGGTAAGGACTGTTTTCTCATTTTGACACCTAACGACAAAAAGCCAAAGAACCGAAATCACCCCACGACTGAGGACTGGTGAGATAGGTAGAGCCTCATACATCCTCCCCAAGTTGCCCTAGGAAAGCCAAGATATTAGGTCATCAGGAAAGGCATGACTTATTTTTCTATGCAAAAAATGCATCATGATTTTTCCGACAACTCAATATTTCCTGGCTTAACTTATCACAAATCCCATCCAATGTCACCGGATGCCTTTGTTTTCCAGGTGTCACAGTTTCTAAATGTTTTAAAAAAACTTTGGGGTGAGGGAGCAACACTGGCAGCATGAGTGCTACCAAGATGCTGTGTTTTGCAGATGGACTACATGGGAGGCCCCAGTGTGATATCTGGACCAACCTACAGGCCTGGTAGTCTGGCATGCACCTGCAAGACAGTGACTCAGGAGGCTGTGGTGGAAGGATTACGAGCTCGAAACTCAGTTGGACAAAAAAAAAAAATCCTACCTTAAAAAAAAAAAAAGTTTTTTTGTTTTTAAAGCAAATGGACTGGTGGTCAAGATAACTGGATCCCATATGGCTGACCACAAAGATCGAGTCTCGAACCCAGGTATTTGAGAAACACACTGAACACGTGTGCAAGCACGCACCAAATCCCGAAAGGAGAATGCAGAAGGGACTGTGTCATAACTATCCGCCCTGAGGAGTGTCTCTCTCTCTCTCTCTCTCTCTCCTGCAAGTGCATGTACCCTCTAGCAAATAAAACACACACACACACACACACACACACACACACACACAAGGTGTCCTTCTACCCCTGGTTCTGTTTTGAAAATAAATGCTATTTCACTATGTTTAGAAACTTATGAAATAAGCAACTTTTCCAAGTCATGTATTACCCGGATTTAAAGGTGAAACTGCAAACTATGTCCTCTCTAATTCCCTGTATTTAACAGGAATCACCTTCAGGTATGTTGTTTACAGAGCAGACGCAGCAATGAATGGGTTAGCATTTATGATAAACCTTGTCCTAAAAGGAAAAATTGGGGGAAGATGTGGTTGTCCACCTACACAATGTCTGCTCAAGTGAGACAGCTCCCAGAGTTACAGCATTCCCTAATGTGCAGGGGAAAAAGGACTTTAACATGACCTATTTCTAATCAACCATCTCCATAGCAACTGTCTCTGGTTTAAGTTGAAACAGCTGTCCTGGCCAGCCAGCAACCAATTACAATGTAAATAGGATCCCTGTGAGTATTGACGGCCCCTTGAGAAATGGACTTGGGCAGCAAAGACAGCTTTTCCCACCTCTCCCTGGGGACATAACCAGATTTGTAGTAACTGCTTAAAGAAAAGGAAGGGGAAGAGAGCAAAGGTGCCTTTATTTTTTTGCCTGAAGTGGTAAATTATGCTTGTTATACACACACACAGCTCGGAATAAAATCGGCCCAGAGAAAAGATAGAGCACTGTGTAATTACGCATATTCCAGTGTAAAGATGTCAAGTTCACAACTTTATAACTGCTCTCTTAAAAATTAAATGCATTTAGACAAGCAAATTAAAAAGACGGACGCATCTTGAAATGTCGTATAAACATAACAGTTACCCTTATAAAAACAGCCTGGAAGAATTTTTCAATTGGCACCAGTGAACAATGAGAAATTGCAGATCTGTTCAAATTCATTAAGTATAAATAAAACCGTAGGAGACTCTAGCAACTGAAGGAATTAAACAGAATGAAGAAAGCACAGTGAGGAAAATTCCTTCTTCAGTACCCAATAGAAATATGGAACGCCAGAGAATGAAGCTTGAATACAGGGTAAAAAGAAATTCATCATCAAAATAGATGGGGAATCAAGTCTGACAGTTTATTTCAAATTAAATCCTAAATCAGATACCTTGACAACTTAATAGACTACATGGGAGAGAAAAATGCATGCTTTTTCAAATGGGGTACAAATATTTATGAAACTCACCGTAGATCCGAAATTTTTGAATACATTGTGCTTCAGTTCCTCGTGAAATTCCTCATGTGGTAATACACTGCATTCCTAAGACACACAGTCAGTAGGTTCTGAACATTTCCTGTCCTTAGAAGTAGAAACTACACAGAATCACTCACAGTGGACAACATGAGAAAAATGGCTCAAACAGCCTTTAAAAGGGATCTAATAGTTTACTCACTTTCACTTGAAACTGGTACAAGTATGGGAGAGAGAATTGATTTAGACCTTTAAAAACATCAACAGAAATAAGAGAAAAGCATTTAATAATAATTTAAAAATAATTTGTTGGGGGTAGACCAGCAGATGGTGTAATGGTTACATCACTGAACTCCCATGTAGTTGACCGTGGTTCAAGTCCTGGATTGGGCGGCTTAAAATTTAATGCCAGGTGTGAGTATGTGCGTGCATGCCCAAGATCCTGAGAGGAGAATGGAAGAGAAGGGACTGTGGCATGGCATCTCCCTTGGGGGATGATTTCTCACTTTCTGTCTCTTTGGCAAGTGCATGTGCCCTATAGTAAAATTCTCCCTAAAAATATAAAATAATCTTGGGGAGCTGGTTCTCTGGGCACAGTAGTTAATGTGCTGCTCAAGAGAAGCCAGATCCCGCACTGAACTGCAGTTCAAATCCCAGGTCCGGTCAGCTGAGACCTGCTGAGCATGAGCATGAATACCCGATGGACTGGAGAACTAGAGGAAGGGGAATCACGTGGGACCAGACTGTGGCGGATGTTCGTCTCTCTCTCTCTTTCATCTCTCTCTCTCATACACATGGACACACATGCACTCCATAATAGAGAAAAAAACTCCTAATTTTTTCCTTTTTTTACTTTTATTGGCAAATAGGTGACAGTGTAAACTGATATAATCTTTTTTTTTTTTTGGAGAGGTTTTTGCTATAGGGCACATGCACTCGCCAGAAAGACAGAGAGAGACAGAGAGACAGAAAGTGAGAAATCACCCCCCAGGGGGGGATGGCCACACTGAAATCCCTTCTCCTCCATTCTCCTCTCGGCGTCTTGGGCACGCACGCATATGTGCCTGGTGTGAGTTTAAGTCACGGGTCCAGGACTCGAGTCATGGTCGACTACATGGGAGTCCAGCGACATAGCCATTACAATAACTACTGGTCCCAGATTTTTTATTTTTTTGAAGAGGTTTTTCCTATAGGGCACGTGCACTCGCCAGAAAGATAGAGAGAGACAGACAGCGAGAAATCAACCCCCACAATCCCACAATCATGCTGCAATCCCTTCTCCTCCATTCTCCTTTTGGGATCTTGGGCATGCACGCACACACACCCAGTGTGAGTTTAAGCCACAGGGTCCACGGTCGACTACATGGGAGTCCAGCAACATAGCAATCACACCAACTACTGGTCTAGAGATTTTTATAGATTTTTTTTTAAAATGGAGCTAAGATTCAGTTTTCCATTGAAAAACAAAAGTAAGCAATAATAAATAAATGTTCATTAATAATTATTTATATTCACCAGTCTGTTAGAAACTTCATTTTTATATTCATTTTTTACAATGTTTTTCCAAATTATATGATTTTCAGTGATTTTATTAAATATTCTTCTTTTCTATTTATTTTTTTCCTTTTATTTTTCTCTTTTTTTTCATTTTGTTTTCTTCCATACATTCAATCACATTATTATTTGTCTTAGAAAATGGATATTTCAACAGGTGAACATTTCTCCCTAGTACTGTTGATAAAACTACATATCTTCAACAGATAATACCACACCTCTTTGTGCCATTAATGCTGTGTTTTATCTAGACTTCACAATAATCAGTTTTAGTGACTGCACCCTATTTTTGTCATGTCAATGTACCATAATTTACCAAACAATCTCCTAACACTGAACCAATCATATTATATTCAAGTTTTCCTATTGCTGCTTTTTTTTATTTTTGCAATTATAGGTAACACTACAGTAAATAGCTTTAAATATCTTCATTTTTATTTTTTGCTTCTCCTAAATTTCTAGAAGTCACTATACCTAAGAGTGTGTCTTGATAGCTCTCACTAAAAATCATCATTTGAGAAAACCCACGACATTAGCAGATGGTACAGCTAGTTTCCCTCTGGAAAGTGGACTGAGTATAAATACAAATCATGGCACCCCAGATGAAACCACAGAATTTATTACAACTCTTTACAAGGAGGCTCCTTAAATTATACAAAACAGGGGACTGGCAGAAAGTCTGAATGCCATTTGATTGCTTTTATACTATTTCTTCACACTTCACGAGCTCTCAAAAAAGGGTCAAACAGAAGATAGAAATAGCATTCTAAGAACAGGAAATTCTCCTACACAGGTTGTTTTGGAGGTAAACCACAACATGTAAAATCCCTTCTATCACACATAAAAGGAAGCAAAACACGGCTGGTTGTGGTGTATGCTCTGCAAGTCTGACCCACATGGAAAGTTCATATCCAGAGACCTCCCTGAGTTCACCAGGCAAACTGGTGTCCATGATCTTGGGTTGGCTGAGGCTAGAGGTGGATTCTGGTGTCAAGACCCTGTTGGGGGTGTTCTTTCTCTGTCTCTCTCGTTCATGGAAGAAATAAACAAACTTTATAAAAGAGAATGAAAAAGAAGAGCATTGTCCCCCCTCACAGAGCATCACAATAAAAGAAGACGAAGACATCTGTTGCAAAGGTAGCCCAGGCTCATGGGCTGAGGTGATCTACCTCCTGCCTATGGTGAGAGACAGGCACCTACAAAGAGTCAGCTAAGGTGATGGCTTATCAGGAGGCTGCTACCACACCAGCCAATCTCAGCCTAGGGCAGCGAGCACAAAGAACAAGTTCTGTACACTCCAGAGAGAGAACTGCCTCAGGTTATCTGCCTGGTACATACCATCTCACCCTGCAGTTGGAGGCTCTGCACCAGTGGCCAGATGGTAACTGCTGATTCTCCTTATGGTTACGGCTCATTGTGGAGGAAATATTTGGTTGTTTTTTTGTTTGTTTTGTTTTGTTTTTAAAGACAGGGTCTCACTGCTGTTATCCTCTAGCTGTAGCCTCTCTGTGTCACTGGGATTACAACACCATCATGTTCAGCCTTTAGGTTGGACTGAGAACCAAACCCAGGCCTTCTATGTGGTTCCAGCCTAGGGAACACAGCGTCCTAACAGTGTGCTTCACTGAGACTGGGATAATATTTGTGTATTTTTAACAATACTGTGCATCTTTCCACTTTCTGCAAGAACTGTTAAATGAACATAGGCTCGGCAGGGAGAGAAGAAAAACTCAGCTTTCACACTCAGGTATTCAATGCTTTCCCT